CTAGTATGTCTTAATTTGTTGGTAAGAGTCTGCAAATTGGTAAATTGCAGTAATCAAAATGGAAGGCCAGATTGTCTTCATATAGTTTTATCCTGAAATGACTGTGCGTGCTTGTAACTGGATCCATACCCTAGAAATTTTCCATCTTTATCTTCTATTATTTGTTTTACTTTCTGAATACTTTAATTGTTCTGAAAGAGAACCACAGGCCTAATGGTAAGAGGATGTGTCTGAATCTGTCTCAGATGGCTTCCCTCCATGTCTGCTTTTGTACCCAGAAACTCGTTAGTAATTAGTTTCAGCTTGACTTGTGGACCATTTGAATGTTGTTAATTTACTTTTGTTTGCCAAAAGTAATTTAATTATAGCATTCTCCTTGGGGCTTAAAAGGCCTAGACATTTTAGCTGCTTTTCTACTTTTTTAAAAAAAAAGCTTGATGTGAAGGAACTATTCCTGTTTGTTATTTCTGGGTTGAGACCACTTTTCAAAAGCTCCGTCCAGCATTCTTGCAACTAAAAATCAGTTTTCCTTTTTTAAATATTGGCGCTGGCTTTAAAACATGGCATCACGAATGCTTAAGTGTGGTATTCAACCCTTCATTGTCTGCTTTATTTTCTGTCACCTGGCATCCTGGAGGGCCAGTGTCTCTGGAGGGTCTCTTCATGGTCTCTTTAAAGCAGCAGTACCTGAAGAGCTGGCATTACCAGCTAGTTTATCTGGGTATGAGAAGAGACACCAGCCCTCTAGGACCAGGGCTGAACCCCCCTGCAAGCCTAGTTCCCCTTTAAAAAACCTTCCAAGCGCTGAGAGTTTTGCCTCAATCCATCCATCAAGCAGAGCTTACAGGTGACGTTTCTCACTAATCCTAGAGCCTGTTCAACTCGCATTTCTCCTGTAGTTTCACAATTGAGCCTGGAGTGGATTTTCTGCAGTTGCGTGTTTATTTTTCGCCAGCAGTTAAATGAGCTGTCCAGACATATTCTTTTCGGCAGAATTAAGATTTATGTCGTGTACGGGAATCTCAAGAATAGTGTTAAAGTATTTATGATTAATTACAGTTCTAAACATATCATTATAGTTTTATGGAAGCAGTGTGCAGTAGTAATTAGAGTTCTGGAGGGTCATGGGTTTAAACCCCCAGGTATGATGCTGCTGTTGTCCCTTTTAGCAACGTACTCTTCTCATAGTGCACCTGTGTGTGTATAAATGGGTAATCCCCACCTCATCAGTGTGAATGCACTTGTCTTTGCTTTATCTGGTTTAATAAAGGATTAAAAATAATCCTTAACTCAGAACGCAGTGAGAACTTTAGTATTTCTTTTAAATAATAATTGGGATGCTAATTGCTATTTAAAAGTAAGTGGTTTAATGGGGGAAATGCGGAATGCAAAGAGGGAAATGGGGGAAATGCAGAATGCATAATAATATAACTATTATGTATGAAAGTTTAACTTCCTTGGTGGCTTAAAGAAAGGACCTACAAAAGTTGTTTCAAATTACAAGCATATTGCAGGTTAAAGGCCCTCACCATTCCTGTATTTTTTAAGTGATTGCGTTAAAATGTCAGCTGTTAAAAAGTCAGAAAAATGGAGCTTGCGTTCCGGGGTCCAAATGGACGAGCGGAAAAAATACCCTGTCAAAATGTAGAATTTTTCTGGTGAATTGTAGATGTTGTGTCTTTCTGTGTGTGTTTTCTGTGCAGTATCCCCAGGTGCATGGCTGTGGGGTTTGCGTAGGTTTAGGAGTAGTCATGTCTTTAGAAATGCAATAAAAAGGCACATCAGAGGCAAAGGAAGGATGCAGCTTTCACAGCTCTGGCCCTTTGTAGTGGTGTGGAAGCAGCTTATTGGCTTAAAAAAAATGTACCTGCCGCTTGGAGCTACACAGCCTTTCTTGACTGAGTCCCAGTTGTTGTCTGGCCTTTTATCTCAAATGTTTATAAACCTGCCCTGCTGGACTGTATGAACTCTCGGCTCCCAGCTTCTGGAAATCTGGTTTACTTTTTTTCAACATCTGACAAACTGCCCAAAACTGACTTTAAACCGAGGGCAGGCTGTGTGGCTGGCCAATCTTTTTAATTAAAAAGTTAAAGTGTAGTTTTGTGATTTTTGTGGTGAAGGTAGTAGTGCCAGCATTTATTGGAAGTTCAATGGGCCACAACCATCAATATGGCTGCTGGCAGGGCAACATTGGAATAACCAAGATCCATGAGAAGACAATTATTATGTAGCCTAAAGAGAGGATTAAGAAACCTTATCTGCAAACTGCTTTATGTGATTGCACCCTTTCACTAGCTGGTACAATCCCAAATTAATGTGGATTACAGCTATGGGCATGCCTTTGAAGATGGCTGAATTGCTAATAGGTTTATCCTTCAGCTGCACATTTTTAATGAAAATACTTCAGACCCTCTGACTCTTGTGGGGTAATTTAAAGAATCTATTTTCTCGCCATGTGTGTGCGCTTTTAAGCTAAGATGTTGAGTGCTGCTTCTGAGGAGCCATATTATGGAATAAGTGAATAGCTAAGAGATGTTAGGATCTCTATCAATCAAGCATTTGTGTCTGTGTTTGGAGTAGGTCGAAATAGGTACAGTATGTATCCCAAGAAACATTTCAGGTGATGTTGACATTTTTTGATATCTTCAAAATTATTAGCAGTTGGGAGCTAATTTAATTTAGCAGGGATGTGAATGGCATATGCATTTAGTATGTGATTTCTGTATACGATTGTTATAAAGTCAGACTTCTAAGCAGGGGGTTTTGTACATTTATCATTGGTGCATGAGGGCACTTTGACAACATTTTCATGCTTTTCCAGTTCCATTACATGTGTGAGAGGTTTGAAATGTCGAGGGAAATGGAAGAAATGGGTGCGCTTGTTGTCTCCCTTGTACTGAATCAACTATGAAAAGGGCTGATTGAGAGCTCTCATTAGCACTCTGCCTGTTTTTAATTGGAATATTGTGGCTACTGACCAGTTGGGTGTTAATTTGATTAAGAAAAAAACCCTACTATGAATAAAAAAGGCTTCAGTGAAGAAACCCTACATAACTTAAGCCATTTGAGTTGGGGGCCACTCTGTGTTGTGGTGCCCTTTCTTAGGAAGCTCCAGCACTGGCTGGACAATGTGCCAGACACATTAATCCTCCTCGTCTGTCCACTGAGTCATCTCGTCAGCGGGCCAAGGGTTTCTGTGACTGCTCAAGTTTCGGCTTCTCTGAAGCTGCGAAATTCTTCCTTGCATGGGCAATAACTATGAGAGTCATCAAATCTGTTTTAAAAAAAATCAGCTTAGTTCACGGAGGATCATTTTTAATTGTGTTAATTGTGAACTTTTGCATGGAAGACGAACATTTTAGGCAAGCAGTGTATTTTATAGAACAAACTGGAACTTGCTTTTAGAGGAAGGATGTGTTTTTTTCTTTGGTTGTGAAAAGGCTAAACAGTCGAACTTGGTATAAACTCAACTTATCAACATGGTGCCAAATCTACACTTGCATTTCAGTCTTGACTTAAGAGTTTTTTCCAGTCAGCTAATTTCATTAACACATAGTGGTAGCAATACATATTCCACCGTTTTGTAACTGCTTTTGTTTAGCAAGCAAAATCCCAATTCAAATGTCATGTTGATATCTTGTTTAAAATGACAGGCTACATGATTCAGTAAGAACTACATATATGAAGAGAAGTACCGTAATAATCTTTCGGCAGTTTTGAGAAGTACTTGTGCAGAATAGCACTGTATTACATTACTGAGAAAGTGTTTGTCATGGTATAGGTGGTGCCAGCAGCTTCCAATTTTTTTCACCTTAATTGGGACTGTCTTCGTAAAACTGCTAAATTATAATGATGTCTGTGGGGGATTATTTAACTTCTTGTAGCACAGTGTGGGCTGCGTGAATTCCAGGGTGGAAGGGAAAAAAATGCAAGGTAATTTGTGCCTCCTGGCATAAGCCTGACAGTGGCTCAGGGAGAAAAAAAACGTATACAGCGAAGGAGCATTTTTGGAAACTGCTGTATAGCGGTAGATAGAAAAACACCTGCTTCCTGTTTAAGGTAAATGATTTTTTAAATGTTTTAGATTACCCGACTCTCTCTCGGGTGAGATGGAACAGATTTTTGGTTAATCTGTTTCTGCAGCTGTGGTTTCTGGTCCTGGAGTCTTGCACATTTGCCCTGGAGAAAGCGTTCCTGTTCTTTCCCGATGTCAGAGATCTCAAGGGTCTGTTTTAAGACCTACTGGAGTGCTGACCAACCCACATCCCTAAAAATGGGTCTCGGACCCTATTTAGAAAATGCGGTCTTTGGGGATTAGACTGGGGTTAGCAGTCCTGCGTGTTTTCTTTAGTCCATAAGCATGCAGAATATTGTACTGTCTGTGTTTGTGATAGCTGTGAAGAGCTGGCCACTTTGTGTACTTAGGGAATACACTCAAAATAAACCGAGTTTAGTAATGCATACAAATGGCCCTGTTGCATATTAATGGGCTTGGTCTACTCAGAACCAGGAGGTCTGTTAGCAATTATGTTCGCCAGGAAGGTCCATAGTCTTCGGGAATAGGCTACATAATTATTCTAAATTGTGTCAATTTGCAAAAATAACTTAATTCCAGGAAGTCAATCATTAGTTGTAAAATAACAAGCAGAGTTGATGGGACTCAGCAGAGATGCAAACTCCCTCTGCAGCCCAATATTCTTTATATAAACATCTGCCTAGGTGGTGAGGAAAACTTCTCTGGAATCGGAAGAGTATGAGTACAGCAGATAAGGGATTTTTCTTCAGGAGGCCATCTCTTAATAACCGTCTTTCCACCACAGGGGACAGGTGAAATTTCTCTTCTAATCCTGCCTCACAGCTCCAAGGAGCTGGTGCCTAGTATTAATGGGAGTTTTTTTCATTTTTTGTGTTTGCATGACCAGATTATTGATCGTTTTGGCCTTAATTTTACATTTTTGAAAAGGCATTTCATTTGCTGTATTTTCTTTTCTTTCTTACAGAGAATATTCAGCTCCTTTGTGTATACTGAAAAAACGTCAAACGGTGAAACAGAAGTTCAGCAGGTGAGTCACAGCCTAGCAAATTTTTACCTCTCTAGTCTGGATGTGATTCTCGAAAGACATCATTCACACTGCGCTAACATTAGTTTGCAGAGTATAC